AGGGCTCAACGGGAGTTGATTTCTATGAGAGAATTGAGGAGGGAGGTGGAATTGGAGGTCGGGGGGCCCGCGCACCACTTCGCCGCGAAGCGGATGCTCAGCCACATCGATCGGCAATACATTTCTCTTCCTGACTGGCTTTGTCTTCTGCTTTCGATCGCAGGAGAGGTGGTGGAACCGCCTGATTTTCTCAACCAGAGAAGGATATCTGATCATGCGCCTGTTCAGGTCACGATTTCTCCAGGGGGCCAGGCTCCTGTTTCTGAGAGCCCTATTCCGCCAGGGGTTTGTGACCACCCGGCCTACCGTGAGCTCTTGCAAACTATCGGCGCCAATTGTGACCTGAGCTCGCCCACCCATCCTCTTCTGCTGCAATTCCGTTCTGAGATGATGCACGAGGCTGCCAAGACCGCCCGAGACAGTATGATTATCGGCTTCCCTGGGGCTCCTTTTCACTCGGTCAACGATTGTCAAAGCTATCGGTCGAGCGATCCGGAGGCAAGACCCCAAGCATGCTGAGAGACTTGGACGTTCGCACGAGCTGGGCAGGCTCTTCCTTCAGATCGATCGACTGGCTGGGGCAGTGGAGCTGACGGATCCGATTGGGTTCCAGAGGCGCTCGAATTCGACTCGCGAGACGATAGCGATTCTGAGAGAAGCCAACCTCCGCAAGACGATCTCGAATGCGACCGATGAGATGACTGGGACCAGTGCTCGCCGACAGCTGAAAGCCACGATTCACCGAAGCCGCCTCTGGACACCTTTCGATGGGAAGATGCCCCCTGCAAGGTATCAAGACATCTGCGAGGGGCGCAGTTGTCGCGGCACCTTCTGCCGCGCTACAGATTTTGGCTGGCCACTGGAGACGGGTCTTTGAGAAGAAAGATATCAATATATCTGCCGCGCATAGATATCTTCGTCGCTATGCTGACGGTGTTGATCTTTCTGGTGTTCCTCCCCCTTCTCTTAGCCCCCTTGAGCGTCGTCTCGAACGCGTTGAAGATCGCGCCCCTGGGCTCGATGGTCTCCCCACTCGGCTTGGAAGAGGCGCCCCCAGGCACTCTCTATCCTGGACGCTGCGTCATGGTGGTAATTTAGTGGGAAACCCATCCCCCGCCCTACAACAATGTCCGCGGCGTATGAATTGCCAAAGGTTAGGAGGAGGAGGACGCTATTATTATTACCAGGACCCCTGACCACACCCGCCCCTGCTTCAAACAGTCCTCCAACAAGATCATCACTGGTACGGCGTTTGGAGGTGCCAGCAAGCTTTTCAAAACATGTGCGTTTCTCTCAGCGCGGGCCCGTTCAAGGTCGTCACTTTGGATTCAATAATTTGGCACTGGGCGCTGGCAGTCGCGTGGTGTCTATGTTCGATAATGGCAAGGCCTGCCTATCGGTGGCGCACGCATGGATCCTCATGGCCCTCGCCGCGTTCAGGGCCCCCGCGCCGCTGCTGTTCGCTGTGGAACATCTTTACTCGAACGTTCGGTGTTTCGCCACGCATGGACGTGTATGTGAGTATGTGTTCGACATCTCTGCTGGCGTCATCCAGGGCTGCCCTTGCATCAGGTGCGTTGTTCGCCGTTGGCAGTCATCCCTCCCCGGTCGATCTGCATCGCCGCCTTTAGCAACGCGCCGACGCGCCCCCGTTTGCGATGCAATGTCGAGTGCAGGCCGTCATTGGGCAACGATGCCTGGGTTTGGCGGGAGCGTGCGGGCACGACGTCGGGGGCGGTGGTCTCCTCGATTCGTGAGCCACATCATCCGAACGCCGTGTTTGATTGCAGCGAGGCCCTTGCCTGTCTCAAGTTGAAGCGAGCCAAATGCTTTCTAGTTTCTCTGGCGGAGGAGTTCCCCCCATCCCTCGTTGCCAAGTATCGGATGTAGCTTCGGAATCATCTTCCCGACTGGCGTTGTTTCCCGATCGCGGCTTCGTTGAAATATATCGGCTCAATGCTTGGGCCAGCTGCCAGCGCAAATAGCTGGGACAGACCGCCTATGCAGTGGGCATCCCGTAGTGCTATTGATTTCAAAAGTAGGCTCTCCGTCCACCATCACTGAGTATCTCTACACTAGCCGTGCTTTGTACACGTTGTTCTACGTTGCCCAATTCTCTCCTCTCCCCGACGCCTCCCCCTCTCTGCCTGCTCCCGCCGCCCGCGTCGAGCACTCGACCTTCGCGTCTCTCTTCAAAGTCCCGCACTGTGCCATTTCGCGCGCTGGTTGGTTCAATATCGGACAATGGGGTGGACCCCGACTAACCAGCATCCAGGCGATGAGCGCGGCTGGTTTGATGCGAGCCGCCATCCACGCGTTTCCAGAACACGCTTCGGCTTTATACGAGTGCAGAGAGGTGGCGGCAGAGCACCTCCCGATTGTGAATCTTTGTGCTGGCCGATCTTCCCCCACCTTCTGGTTCAGCCCTGCCTTTGTCGCGTATCTAGGTCAGGCTGATGTTGGCTACCCTTCTTCGAACTCTCTTTCTCGAGCTGGATCG